TCCCTTCACCCAATATATTGAATTTTTTCCTTCATTTACATGTTTTTTTCATCAACGGTCAACATTTTTCCCCTACATCTGCCATCCCAAACTTTGAGAAAAACCCCCCTTTAAAAAAAAGCGAAAAAAATTTTTTTTAAATTTTTAAATTTTTAACCTACAATGATGGTGCAAGTACCATGAAAAAAATTTGAAATACTAAAAAAATATCTGCCAAAAAATTTTGGTTTAAAAATTTAAAAAATCTTTCTCATATTTTTCACCTGGGACAAACCTTGTGACGGCCCTTTATTTTTGTCCCTTCCCTGAGTTTTGGGGGGCACTTTACTTGTTTTTTTATACAAGTTTTTTCAATATTCAACAAAATTTTTTTGAAATTTTAAAAAACCTCAATTTGGTTTTTGGGGGACTAGCATTTCCTTTTTTTGAAAGCTGAAAATTTTTGTTTAATGTTACGTTTGCCTAATTAAAAATTAATGTTAAAAACGAGGCCCAACTCCCATGTTTGTGTCATCTAAATAGAATTAAACTGTTAAATTAAATCAAAATAAAAATCCCTTTTTAAATTCTAAAATTAATGCAGAAAATTTTTGTACTGTGATATTTCCAAAAAAATAGCAATGATTATACTTATCATCAAAATCCCCACAGAATTTGATTTCGCTTTGGCCCTGGATATGGGGGATATTTTTTTTAGTTACTAATGGGCAAATACTGACTCATATGTTACCCCCAAAAACATTGTCTTTATCTCCAGAAACTCATCGAAAGCTTCCCTGTCAGGATACGAAAGGGGAAAGAATATTTTTGGGGAAATTGCACCGTTGGTATCTGTGTGAATTAACACATTCGCTGCACCACCCTTTAATTCCATTCTTCCTCGCATATCTCCCAAATCGGAGAAATTTGTTAACACGCTGAAAAAGAAGGATTCATAATTTGGCCATATACTTTTAGACTATGTGAATTTAAAAGACCATGTCACAAAAAACCAACTAATGTTGCGCAGATGGGATCCAGACCACCTGCGACCATGCAGTTGTTCAGGATCTTGTTGTTACAAACCCCTTTAACAAGAGAAAACTGATAGGAACAGCAGGTTCCTGTCAGACTGCGCAGGCTGGTCGGATCCATGCTGGTCGCAAAACCATTTGTTGTTTTTGTCATACCCGGCTCAATGAAAAATTCCAATATTTTAAATTTTTTCCCTTGGCTTTAATGATAATTAACGCTAAATTCAAAAAAGGATTGTTGAGTGGCAAGGTCACAAAAGTGAAATGATAAGAAATCATGAATTAAACTTAAACATATTTTTGAGGCGCTAGGCATGTCTTTGGTGAAAAAATAAACATTCTTGACTCTTCAAGGGACGTAACTTGGATAACAGTAGGGGGTCAGGCAGAATATGCGCACAAATTCACATCATGATAAAAGACTAACACAAGAATCATCAATTTCTTTTGAATATTTTTTTAACTAGGGGCGTACCAAGGTGGAAACTTTCCATTTTTGGCTGTGTCACTCCAATCCAGCTTTGTATAAAATTTATTGACTTGGTTTTGAGAATATAACATTTAATAAGTATGTACTGTATAATAAATATATTATAGCTCCGAAGTTTATACTTACTGGGCCCAATAATCTGCCCACGGTATGGGTGTATCAGAAGCACCTTGATTGGAGAAGCACTTTCAACATCACTGCTGGCCTCTCGCAATGCCTGTGCAGATAAGCGAGGCGGAGATGAAAAGTAGGCTTTGTGACTCTTTGGCGTTGTTGCTTTTTCAATAAATTTGGGGGCTACTCTCTGTGCTGTCTATTTTTCATCGGCCCCCATCCGATTCATAAACCTTTGAGGCCTATTTTCAAAAAAAATGAAAAAACTTTAAAAATAATAAAAAAACATAGAAAGTGGTTATTTCGCCAAATGCAAATTTTTGCCCCCTAATCGGCTGGGAAAAAATTATAGTCTATGTTACGTACCCATTGTTGTGCGAATTTTTTTCAAGGTTTTAGCCGAAGCATTTTTTTTATAAGATCCGAAAATTGAAAAAAATTCAACATTCGGTTTTTCAAAAAGAAAACTGTGGCCGAAAAAAAATTGTGACAAAAAAAAATGATCAAAAACAAAGAAAAAATTGTGTTTGTTTTTAAGACATTTTGTTTTTTTTTTTTACCTAAAATCGGCCCAATCCACAACGCTTTTATCTCCTCCTGATACACCAAAAAACATGGTTCTGCTTTCCATTTTTCATTAAATTTCGGTCTCTGGTCTATTCTTTTCATCCTTTTTTTTGCTGTTCTGCGCATCTCTTCTGACGTAGATTATCGGTTTTCCAAGGTTTGGCACCTTTAGCGACGCCATTTTGTATACATGCGGCTTGGATAAAAGCGGACAGTCGGACCGATCGGAATAAAAAATTGTCGGACCTGATCAAAATTTATCGGACATGTCATCGGACCGGCGTATTTCGGAAGTCTGCTGATAGATATTTCATTGAAACGGGAAGGGCTAAAGACTTGGGGTCGGTCCCATTTGGAAGCTTTATACAAACGTGAAAGTGATAAAAAATTTTTTTTAATTGTCTGGACAATTGTTTTTTTTGACTTTTTAAAGATGAACACAGGTTTAATTTATCTATCGAGTCATATTTTTTCTTCCCAGGTCCGATACTCGGCCTGTGCAAACATAGGGCTTGGTTGGTACTTGGAAAAAATACTTGAATTTGTAATAATAAGTATTTGCATTTAATATTTTAAAATGCTTATGAATGAAATATTGGTACAAAAATGGAAGGGAACTTTTCTAAGCTGGAGGGGTCACTGGTTTCAAATGATGGTGTCCCTTTACAAAAGGATCTCTTTAAAAAATTTAGTCTAGATAAGAAACAATATTATTTAAAATGTTAGTGTCGACTCCGTCACAGTTAAGTTATTCAACAATAACAACATACAACGTCCATAGGTCAGCTAAAGTGCCTAATAGTGGGCGTTAAATTCTAGAAAATGTTCGCAAATTAAACTGACAAAAACTATCGCGAAATTACATGGCAAAGGCAAAACAAAACATAAATGACGTTTACACTTACCTACACACACAATAATCTGTAAGGATACTAATATGAAAGGTCGTTATGATCGAAAATCGTCGTTAAATGTTCCGAATTTGAACATGAAATATTGTTTTCGTGTACAATTTTACAATTTAACGTTTCAATACACAATTTGATTTTTAAGCGGCAGCGGAAATCACGTCTGCGCATGCTCGAAATAAAATTTTTCATCAAATGCTGATTTTTATAAATTATTTCTGAATTAATAGTCTAAAAAAAACACATTTTTTATATTTAGATTATAAAAATTAAAACCCAATATATAAAAACTAAACAAATTAATTTCTCGCACCTGCTCAGGCATGCTAATATTTATTGGGTTGCCCGAATGGGACCCATATTGGGTCCCTCATGGCTTGTATATATGTTAATGCTACGATTTTTATAAAAGATAATAGCAATTTATGCCAAGGTGGTCACACTATAGCTCAAAGTAAACAAGTTTCTAAATAAATAAATAAACGAAAAATCGTTTTTCCTGAAAGTGCTGTAATATGGGACCCATATGGGTCCAATATGGGCGTACCCAAATGGACTTGCCCATATTGGTCCCATATAGGTCCAATATGGGCATACCCATATGGGCTTGCCTAGATATAGCCCATATGGGTCCCATATATGCATGTTTGCTGGGTTTGTACATGCCAGAGCAGAGGTAAACTGCGAATGATCGTAGAAAGGATTTCATGATCAAGCAAAACGAAAGTGACCTGCGCCGTCCGGCAATCGAACCCGGGTCGCCCGATTCACAGTCCAATGCTCTTCCTATTGAGCTAACCTGATGGCTAAACAGTTTATGTAACGGAGTATTCTGTTATAGTATTGTAAATGTGTGTATGATAAAATAATCTACTATATTTTAAAATATGAAAACAATACGGGTTTAGTTGTATTATTTTAGGCACACAGGGAGATAAATCTGCAGTACGTACATAGTAAACTGCTGTAACATTGGCTGCAGAGTTGTCCCCCTTTAGTAGTTTCTTTTTAACTGAGTGCTATTTTTATTGTGTTAATTGCTTCCTTTTGATTATTTCTCAATATTTTACTTCCAAATATATTTTCAAAATTTTTACGAAAATAAGCATGAATCTGAACGTGTGCTGCTTTAAATCTGCAATCTCACTTTCTCACGGTTGCATTAGCTTTTTTCCAGTTAAGGCCAATTGGATGCACTCAGAAGAAAGAAGCATCACTTGACATCATATATGGAATAAATAATACATTGGTATGTGACAATGTTTTTATGTTCTTAATAATACTGCTTTACGAAAACAGTACAATATTAACTAATTATACCCTGAAAACTTTACTCCGGGCATTGTAGTTCCAGGTAAGAAAACTGTTTTCTTAAATAAGTCTGTATAAAGTAAATTACTATCAGGGCAGGGTCAATTATGACCACAGGGAGATGATATATTTTACATTTTAGAGGACCATGCTCTGGGCATTGTGGTTTTTGAAATTAAGAATTTATACACAAAAGTCCTTTTTTTAGCGCGCCTGTGACATACTTATGCATAAGACTGGAACCATTTATCTACCGTAACTTTTGAAGAAAGACATGTAAGGAATCATTCCTGTGATTAGTTAACATCCATCAAGTGATATAGGAGATGTTGTTTACTAGTACAGAAAATGTGGAAAAAGTCAGGAATGAGGTGTGTAGTGCTAATTTTCAACCTAAAGAATGACCTCAATAATCAAGGTTCACTTAAACTTATTAAGTTATTAACTCACCTGGCTTGATTAACTGTAAAATAACATAGTTCCGCATAATTTCCGCATAAGAAAAATTACAATGTAATTTAAATAGAACAATTTGTGTTTTTTACAGTATATTTTATTTTTTCAATTTTAGACATATTCACATTTGCTGCAAACAAACTCCATCTGCGGTCTATCTGGTATATCAACAATCAAAATTATCTGTTAATGATTTATAAAGTCTTTTGATTGTCGTCTGCTGCAATCTGTTTATTTGGTTCATGCTCATATCAAGAATATGAAGTTTACGAGTACGACGGCGGGTCTCTAAAGCGGTTTCGGCAGCCGTAACAATATCGTCTCCTTGAATACTGCAGAACCTGCAATAGGAAATATTAATCAATGTTATTTTATCTAAAACCTTCGTTTTTTAATTGAATTGAGGCTGAAATTATTAAGGATGCTAATTTGATATTACCAGTTGTCCTTGATTACTGTATGGTAAATCTACCAAAGTTCCCTACCTATGAATGAAAATTGAGCTTGTGAGTGTTTGGGTTTGTTAACCCTCGCCAACGGAAAGTGACCATATGGCCGAGAATATAATTGACCTAAAGTAGAACTTGTTGACTAAATTTGTTAATAACAAGAGCCTGTTGAACCAGGTGATGATCCCCCTAGTAGGTTTTGGACACAGAAAAGTATACCTCTTTAAGTATCTGAGTTATGTCCCTGAAAAAGGTCAAAGTGAAAAATATTAACAAGGGGCAATAACTCCAAAACTAGGCAAGGCAGAGTTAAGGTTTATTGCACTGCACTTGGGCTCTATCTACCTACAGAGTTTCATGTTGATATCTCTTATTGTTTTAGAGTTATGTCCTGGACAAAGTTCAAAGTGTAAAAATAAACAAAAGGCAATAATTCCAAAATAAAGCTAGGCAGAATTATTGTTCTTGTGCACTGCACATGTACTAAATGAGATTTATCTATCTACAAAGTTTCATGTTGATACCTCTTGTTATGTAATGTTATATAAATATTGTAATGTAAATATGTAAAATCAACACAAGAGCAAGGCAGGGCAAGTCAACACAAAAGCGAGACAGGATAAGTCAACAATATGTAAAGTCAACACAAGAGCAAGAAAGGACAAGAAAACAATATGTAAAGTCAACACGAAAGCAAGTTAGGAGAAGTCAATGATATGTATCTTCAACACAAGAGCAAGAAAGGACAAGACAACAATATCTAAAGTCAACACGACAGCAAGACAGGACAAGTCAACAATATGTAAATTCAACATGAGAGAAGGACACAACAAGTCAACAATATGAATAGTAAACACGAGAGCAAGGCAGGACAAGTCAACAATATGTAAAGTCAACACAAGAGCAAGAAAGGACACGAAAACATTGTGTGAAGTCAACATGAGAGCAAGTTAGGAAAAGTCAACACAAGAGCAAGACAGGACACATAAACAATATGTAAATCAACACAAGAGCAAGACAGGACAAGTCAACAATATGTAGGGTAAGCACAAGAGCAAGATAGGACAAGTCAACAATATGTAAAGTCAACACAAGAGCAAGACAGGACAAGTCAACAATATGTAAACTCAACCAGGAGCAAGGCAGGACAAGTCAGCAATATGCATAGTCTAGAGAGCAATGCAGGACAAGTCAACAATATGTATAGTCAACACAAGAGCAAGGCAGGACAAGTCAACAATATGTATAGTAAACACAAGAGCAAGACAGGACAAGTCAACAATATGAATAGTAAACACGAGAGCAAGGCAGGACAAGTCAACAATATGTATAGTAAACACGAGAGCAAGGCAGGACAAGTCAACAATATGTATAGTAAACACAAGAGCAAGACAGGACAAGTCAACAATATGTATAGTAAACACAAGAGCAAGGCAGGACAAGTCAACAATATGTAAATGTAACATAAGAGCAAGACAGGACAAGTTAACAATATGTAAACTCAACCTGAGAGCGAGACAGGACAAGTCAACAATATGTAAACTCAACACAAGAGCAAGACAAGACAAGTCAACAATATGTATAGTAAACACAAGAGCAAGACAGGACAAGTCAACAATATGTATAGTAAACACAAGAGCAAGGCAGGACAAGTCAACAATATGTAAAGTCAACACAAGAGCAAGACAAGACAAGTCAGCAACATGTAAACTCAACCAGGAGCAAGGCAGGACAAGTCAGCAATATGCATAGTCTAGAGGGCAAGGCAGGACAAGTCAACAATATGTATAGTCAACACAAGAGCAAGGCAGGACAAGTCAACAATATGTATAGTCAACACAAAAGCAAGACAGGATAAGTAAACAATATGTATAGTAAACACGAGAGCAAGGCATGACAAGTCAACAATATGACACCTTAGGGAATAATAATATCTGTCATACTGTATGTTGCGGTTCAGACCGCAAATATGTCAGATATTTTTTCTTGCTTATTCTACCACATTCCATAATATCTTAAATTCTTTACCTTAATAAAACAATTTTCCAAGAAAATTACACCCATAACAGTTAACTATTTTTTTACAACAGGGTATGAAATTACAACTTCATTCATAACAACAAAATAATGTTATCCTAAACATGCCATTATGAGGCAGCTTTTTTTGTAAACAAGAATGTCATCATATTTAGTGTGGACATTGGTAAGTAACCTACTTTTTAACAAAACCAGGATTTCTTAACACAGAACAAATATACCTTACCTAAGGTCAAGATTATTCACATAAGAATTCTCTGATGTCAATATCATTGTCAGCAAATCTTTGCCCACCTCAACTGTAAAAAAAAATTGATACAGGGCTAAAAGTGCTATTCTTTTCACGGGAAAAATTGCCAAAAAAAGATGTCTTAATGACATTTTAAAAACATTTATTAGGAAAAATCTGATTGTTCAAATCATATATTTGAAAAGTTTCTTTGCTGGTCAAACATAAATATATTTTCAAGATTTTCAAACATCATCACAGCTATGTATCAACTTTATCTATGAGCTATGGTCATAAAATGAAAAGGTGACTATCTTATACATGTTTATCAAACACTTGTATTTGGCTCTTGTGTATTTTACTAGAATGAATCACACTCGAGGCTTGGTAACTCGGCACTATCGCGCCTTATGAGATCCTATTTTATTTGTTCATTCCAGTCAAATTTAAGTTTCAGATCAAGGTTCTCCCATAATAACGCTATTGTATTGCAATAGGTGTATGATTTATCACATTTAACACAACTTTCTAATAAAAAGAGTCTCTCTCAGCTATGATACAGATGTATAAAAACTAATGACTTACCTAGATCTATTCCCTGTATAGACAATGTTTTCAGGTGCTTGCAGTTGTTTACAATTCTAACAAAGTCTTGTAAATTTGCTGAAAACAAAGTTGAAGTTTTTAAGTGGCCTATTCAAGAGACTATTACCACAAACAGGTCTTTTGATGGAAGTATTAATTACACATGGGGTTTGTTCTAACATTCTTTGCTTTCTGATGACTATGAATATGCCTTAATTGTAATTATTCTTATTGCTGGTGTTTTATTTGAAAATAAACATCACAAATTAGTTTCATTTGGATCTTCCAGGGCCCAAAATCTCGTGATATTCCATGGAATATATTAAATATAGGCTGGTTTAGTTATCACACTTTTGTTACCTCTTTTGTAAGTCACTTGTTAACGTTGACCACTCCAAATTTGTTATTGAATTGAGGCTAATACATGAGTTGAAGTATTGGTGTCAGGAATTTTTTACGAAAGACCTTTCAAATTCGACCTACTAAAGTTCTACTGTATCTTAAACAGCTACAATCACTACTATGTTGCTCTTTTTTCAGCTTGTTTATCTTTTAATATTATTTTTTCTAGCGTCTTACAGAGACAAAAGACATTCAATTATATTTTACTTAACATCTTTGGATGTGCTGAACTTGTAACATACATGTATGTCACATGACAGCCTCAGACATTCTGGTTCAAGTTATCATTATCTATGAACAAAAATCATATATTTAATTACATTTATAGGCTATAAGTATATTTCAAAAGCCGTCGGAAAAATATATATTTTACATATACAATTTAAGCGTAACATATGTTTAAATAGCCATAGACAGTTTCAGTGACTCTCAATGATTTATGGATGGTAGACCTTCAATACATTTCAGGCACAGGATCATTGTTTCATGTACGTGATGGCACAATGTGAAGAACCATTACCTTTCTTTTAACTACATGTTGCAAGATATTTACCTATGACAGAGTTCATAGGCCTTGGTGAGATTTGTGCCAAAAACCAATCTAACCAAATGAGTATTATTAACTTATAAAATATGAAAACTGAATATCTTAACTAAACAAAGTTTAGAAATTTACCAATATTTCCTGGGCCTTCTATTTTTAGATATGACAGTTTTGGTGCATCTACCAGTACCTTACATACATCCCAATGCCACCAGCTACATACAGTAGGTGTTGTTATTGATTGTATATTGCTGAAACATTGACAACAACTTTTATATCCTACAGATATAACAACATAGAATGCACAGACTTTATATTATGTGTAGAGGGACAAAATACATGTAGGATTCTACATGTATGTGCTTATTTGTGAGGTTTGGTTTCAAGTTAATGTTTCATTACACTTGAATTGTCAGTCAAATTATGGTAAGTAGGTACCTATAAAGTACTCCTGACTTAGATATTTAACTGACTTATTTTCAGTTGTTTTCTCTACTTGATTTATATGTAGACTTTTTTACTTGGATCAAGCATCACTTTACCAGTATTAAAGTCATATACCCACAGGAGGTTCCGCTGCCAGCGTTCGTTGATTCTTAAAAAGGTATTAACAAATTTTAATGCATATAAATGCTCACACATCTCCTGTCCGTACCAGTGGTGATGGATTAATGTTCTGGTACTTATCATTTTTCAACCAAATCATAAAGAATATGTAAAAGTTATGTCATACCAGAGATAATAAAATACAAATCCCAGATATAACAAAACATTTTACCTATTGAGCTAACAGGACATGGTCAGGATTTAGACTTAATACTTCCAAAATTTCCCTTACCAAGCTTTAAGAGCAAGAACTTGTTACTCATTATTGTTATAACTTGAAATGTTCACTATTCATTTACATACCTTTTAGCAAAAATATCTGTAAATTGCACCATTAAATTCAGATTTTCCTGAGATACATTTATACATGTATTGTTGAAATTCACACAAGATAAGCTTCTATTGCACTGTAAAAACTGTACAAACATGTGAGCCATTGCTTCTTCCTCTATCTGTGTGTTCAGAACTTCAAATTCTTCAACTGCATACATCTGCCCTGCGAATTATATTTTCAAATAAAGTAATTTTGAAACCTTCTATAATAGACCTGGGAAGTCTTATGAGTGCTTAAACAAAACAAGAGTCACCACCGAGAGATGTCTAGATACATGTCTAGTTCACTTGAAGGGCTATCCTTAAAGATTACTATGTTCAAGTTTGAAGACAATCCGTTCAAAAATAACAAAGTTATAGCCACGAATAGCAAAGAAACAAGCAAAATTTAGACATATGACCTTTAAGTTCAAGGTCATTTATGAAAAAGGTCAAGTTTCGGTGGCTATACTAAAAGGTCGTGTCCCAAGGGTTGTTGTGGCCAAGTATGAAAACAATACACCAAGAACATAAAAAGTTATATCAAGGTACAAGTTTGCGAACTGCAACGGCATCCGACAACAACAGCAACGCCAAAGTGACTGTAACAATACCTCTATTTTTTTTTTTTTCAAAAAATAAGTCAAGCTAAAAGTAATTATGTTCAATGTATTTTGGTCCTTAACCCTAACCATACTTAATATATATGAGCTGCGTCATGACAAAACCAACATAATGGGTTTGCCACCAGCATGGATCCAGACCAGCCTGCGCATCTGCGCAGTTTGATTAGGATCCATGCTGTTCGCTTACAAACCCTATAGCAAGTAGAGAAACTGATAGCAAACAGCATGGATCCTGATCAGACTGCGCGGATGATAGCGAACAGCATGGATCCTGATCAGACTGTGCGGATGCGCAGGCTGGTCTGGATCCATGCTGGTCGCAAACGCACTATGTTGGTTTTGTCGTGACGCGGTTCATATACTAAATATGGTCTTATCAATCTACAATCTCCACAAAATCATTTTTTTCATGGGAAATTTCAAAATATGTACTGACTGAATAGCCACCAGTGCATACTATGAACTGACAACATGTATGTGCCGTGAATTGTTCACTGAGTGGCTAGCAGGCCTACACCTATGGTTCCTCATATGACTCAAGTACTGCCTAGTTCCAGAGAGAGTATTCAGTGGTTGGTCAAAATAACTTTCAAAATTTTCAGTAAAGTCAAGCTCAAATAACAACATATTTCAGGGATTTTTTTAAAGGCTTATTTTATAGCCAATTGAAAATAGTATATCATTTTCCCAATCCGCAGGAAAAAATTCCCCCTTGAAAGTTGCAAAATTAAAATATTGAATAAAGAATTTTAAATCTTTGAAAATAAGGGCTTCTTCACTGTAATAGTGCTTAAATGTTTTAAGAGTAATTATTTGAATTCATTTAATCACTGCAAAATTTCAGTCATGCATTTTTCCCAATTTTTAACAACCATCGCTGAAATTCCCAATTCCATGGGTATGGGTCATACTCCCACACTCTTGGAAAAAATCCCTGTATTTATTGAAACTAAATGACTTAAAAATTAAGAAATTAAGAAATCAAGTTCAAAGACAATCTGTAAGTCTTGCTTCATTTTGAATTTGAATTCTTTCAAAACATACTTCTTAAAATCATAACCCTGAAAAACATTTCAATTTTTTTAGACTTCTTCCATTTCCAGTACTTACAACAGTTTTACAACTTACCTATATACTTTTGAGCATCAAATTTCCATTTCATACACCCATTAAATGTTAAACAAAGATATTTCATTGGTTCCAGCATAAGATCCCTGAAATGGATAAAAAAGTATTATTCTTATACTCTCTGAGAATTGACTTGCTGCAGCAATTATATGCTATAATCAATCTCTTATACACAAGCTTGTATTCCATTTATCTTTGTAATAGGCTTCAAAAGAAGCCCAAGCTCACATGGTTTTACAGGCAAATGATCGTAATATCAAAAGAAGCGACACTTATACTGAATAAAGATTGACAGAAAGAGACAATTCCTATAATACCCTTCCCACAATGCATCAGGGGATTAATACAGAATAAAAACAAGAACCGGTTGAACCGGGTGATGCTCCCCGAATAGGTTTTGGACACAGGAAGGTATACCTCTTGTAGTGTCAGAGTTATGTCACAGACAAAGTTCAAAGTGTAAAAACAACCCAAATGTTGTGCACGACACATTGTCTCAATATGGTGATCATTTTTGTGAAATAGTTGTAAAATCCGACTTCAAATAACGAAGTTATGGGCCGGACATGATTTTGCTGCAAGGTCATGCTGTGACCTTGACCTTCAAGGTAGCAACCCAAATGTTGCATGCGACACGTCGATTCAATATGGTGCTCATCTCTGTGAAATAGTTGTTAAGTCCGGCTACAAGTAACGAAGTTATGGGCCGGACACGATTTTGCTGCAAGGTCATGCATACCTTCACCTTCAAGGTAGCGACCCAAATGTTGTGCGCGACACGTCATCTCAATATGGTGATCATTTCTGTGAAATAGTTTAAAAATCTGACTTCAAATAAGGAAGTAATGGGCCAGACACGATTTTGCTGCAAGGTCATGCTGTGACCTTGACCTACAAGGTAGCGACCCAAATGTTGTGCACGACACATCATCTCAATATGATGATCATTTCTGTGAAATACTTTTAAAATCCAACTTCAAATAGCGAAGTAATGGGCCGGACACGATTTTGCTGCAAGGTCATACTGTGACCTTGACCTTCAAGGTAGCGACCCAAATGTTGCGCGTGACACGTCGTCTCAATATGGTGATCATTTCTGTGAAATAGTTTTAAAATCCGACTTCAAATAACGAAGTTATGGACCGGACACGATTTTGCTGCAAGGTCATGCTGTGACCTTGACCTTCAAGGTAGCGACCCAAATGTTGCGCGCCACACGTCGACTCAATATGGTGATCATTTCTGTGAAATATTTTTAAAATCCGACTTCAAATAATGAAGTTATGGACCGGACACGATTTTGCTGCAAGGTCATGCTGTGACCTTGACCTTCAAGGTAGCGACCAAAATGTTGCGCGCGACATGTCATCTCAATATGGTAATCATTTCTGTGAATTAGTTTTAAAATCCGACTTCAAATAACAAAGTTATGGGCCGGACACAAATTCGGGATGGACGTACTGACGGACAACCCGACGACTATATGCTCCCCCAAAATTTTTCAGGGAGCATAACAATATCTGTCCTTGAAAAATGCACTTCACTTTTTTCAGTGCTGGATAGTTAAAAAAAAGATAGAAAAGGGGGCATTATTACCTGTCCCTTAAAAATGCTTGTGAACAAGAACTTTTAAGTTTAAAGTTAATATCTTTGGTACTTTTTGAGAAATGTACCTTGACAAAAATAATTTACCAAGAAATTCAGTCATAAGGGAAATAACTGAGAGAAAAAAAAACATAATAAAGTTACCTGTCCTTTAGAAATGCATTTCAATTAAAATATTGGACAAATTTTCCATACTAGTACGAGTGATTAATTTTTCATATTTTTTTGAAAATAAAACAAATTGAGCTAAAAATACTTAATATAACAACATCAAATTTATACATGAAAAGTTAAATGTGAAAAACTTACCTGTAAACTACAAATAAACTGTCAATAAGTTCCTCTACAAGACACTCTGACAATATCTCCCCGGTCAATGTTAAATGAGTCAACTTTCTGAGAGCCTTGTTACACCAACCTTTACCATGCAGCGGACAAACTAAATAATATAAACTTTGTTATACTGTATTTGTATTAAAATCTGCATTATATATATCTTTAATAGACTTACACTGTAATATTTTTGGGTTTTCCCAGCTAATCAGGGGGTACAAACAATTTTTACAGTACAAATAATTCAATGCTTGTTTGTTTTTGTTTTTAAACCGGTTTTAACTCATTTTTGGTCATATCTCAGCAATTGAACACTGGATAACTAACCAGCAAGTGAACAACTACTAATCCCACATGAGATTTACATCAACAGTGAGAGACAAATGACATTGATTAAATCAAAAAACTTGATATTCAATCACTGAATCACAAAATATGTATTTATAAGAAAATATAGCCTTTATCTCTATTTTTATATATATTTTGTAAAAATTAAACTAAATGTCGTAGATCAATAGTCATAGAGAAATTAGGCCTTGTCCCAGGATCAAACCACCAACCCCGGGGTAACTAATCCAATGTTGTGCTAAGCCGGTGGATAAGAACTTGATAACCCTGGACAAATTAAAACCTTGTGGTGAGGGACAAGAGACCTTGAGTCTGAGACTTTAAACACTTAGTCACAAACGCCCCTTAATTATTCTGTAAGTTGTAAATATCCAATGTAGGATATACAAATACAAAGTTGATATAAATAATAATTAAAATCCTACCTGAAATTATATTTTCATATGATATTATATTCAATCTTTTAATACTGCTATCAAAGAATCTGTCACTCAGAAGAAATTGTATATCATCAGATCCTAGGCTGGCCTTCACACTTTCAACAGAACTTTTAAAGGATAAACAATGTTTTTTAGAGTGGTTTTCACTATTCTTATCATCATCACTATCATCATCATCATCAAGATCTTCCTCACAGCAATAATACTTGCTGAATAAATTAAAATTCTTAAAAGAAACACTTTTTAGTTGTTTACATGATCTCAAAAAATTGACTTCTTTAAATGTAAATGTTGGTGCTCCCCATACAATTAAGTGTTGAACAAGGTCTGACATTATCTTCTTGATTCTGACGGCTGTTAAAGTACCACATTTTTTCCACCGGAAAGTCAAACTTGGTGCAAATTTCAGATAAAAGCAAAGAGTCTCTTGGCATGTGACGTCATTTTCTGAAAGAAAGGGGAAAAATAATTCTCACAGTTACTTTATATTAATGTTACAAAATAAACAAATGTGAAGTAATTTGAAAAAATCATAGTTTTTAACTTTTACATTTAAGATCAAAGATTTCTGAATCAAAATTTTCATAGAGAAATCTAAATAAATGTATGAAACACTTTTACATTTAATTCTAGTGAATCTTCCTATTAGTATTATATATTCACAAACAATGTACTTAATCTGGTGACCTTGACCTTGCATATATTGACGTAGATTTGGCTGGCAAGACTCAGTAATACATGTACCTAAATTCAAGACGACCTTGACCACAGGGACCTGAGTTTTGCTAGGGACACACTGCCTCAAAATAATTATATTAAAATAGTCTGACGTAAGTGTGACATTGACCATTGACCTAGAGACAAACATTGTCTCATGGTGATGAACATATGTGTCAAGTAATATTTGAATTTATGCATTCATCTAGAAGGTAAGCACTGGACAGGGCTGTACTGCCAATCACCAGGGGTGATCCCATTAATTACACACCATTTTTATTTTTAAAATTGGGCATTAATAAAACTCACATTATTTTTGTTGTCATATATTTTATAAAACAATATTTATTTAATCAAACTGGTCTATGAACTTGTTAATTTTCTTTTAAACAAAATTTTTACTTTAAAGTCAAAGAAAACATAACATGATGATATAAATGTACTTCCAGTGAATGCTCTAAAATACACATGTTTCATTTGGAACAGATGTTAGATGTTTCATAAGAGTATTATATAAACATACCAAGTCCTACTTCCAGGCTTTTGTTCCCTTCTATAGCTGGGGCTGTTAAAAAGGCAGCTTCCCAAAAGAAAATTCCTTTCAAAATCATGCAGTTTTCCCCAAAAATTGAATTTAAATCAATTTTCAAATTTTTCTCCCCCTTTGCAAATAAACCGTATAACTTCCCACCAAAATTAAGGGTAGGGTTGCTTCGCCAACCTGTGAAAAAAGTCCTGCACTTACCCACACTCCACAAGGATGCCAATAGATTACTACAGTTATTTTGTAAATACTGGGCCTGGTAAGTATCACATATTGGATCTGCCACATGGTGTTCCCTCCATACAAAGTATCGTTTTCTCACGGCCATCTGCCCATATCTCTTCAAGAAATGTCTCTCCCATACATCACTTGTATCAATACCTTTATACAGCATAATAAAACTCATCTGTTATAATTGCTAATGTATGTACATGTAGTTAATTGTGCATATAATATTCAAATAAAAAAATTAGCACAATTCCTCATGATAACTCAAATTTCCAATATCCATGGTCATTTCAAGGGCTATACTGACAAAACACATCAGAAATGTCATTAATGTTTTTATCATAAAAATTTTTCAACCACATTTTGCTTTCAAAAAAACTATTTCACACAATAACACAACAACATATACATGTTCTTATAATTTGATATATCAACAATCTGTAACTTTTATGATTTAGACCATGACCACATTCAAACATAAATACTTAACAGTAAAATATGATATCTAGAAATGATTTCAAATAAATATTATACAGATAGTGTGATACAGATTGTCATGTTCTATAATTCTTTTACATTATAACTACCTAAACTTGAGGCACCATCAAAATGTCATGATAGCAATGCCTATTTCAATACAAGTTAGTTTACTTGTTATAAATTCATTTTTTATCAAGTTTATTTAATTTTTTTTTTTTTTGGTTGTGTTAAAAGTCACTTCAACACGGTTCAGGTCATAATTATGGCAACATTTTAGCTTTACTGGTGGAGGAAGACCCCAGGTGCCCCTCTGTGCATTATTTAAGGCACAAAATTTAATGGGCACCTGAGTAGAACCACCGACATTCCGTAGGCTAGCTGGATAGCTTCCTCACATGAAAGAATTCAAAGTCCCTGGTGAGATTCAACCCACAATAGAGTGACGCAAGTGGTTTGAGGTCAACAACCTTAACCACTCTGCCGCGGACATCTCTTATAAAGTTTAAGTCACACAGACAACATAAAAGTTAAACGACAATATTTCAGCTTTACAGGTAAATGAAGATCTTTGATTCCCTATTTGTATATTTTTTCATACACAAGCTAGCACTTGAGTAGAAGAAGTACCGAGGTTTCACTAGAAAGCTTCTTCACATGACAGATTACAAGTTCATAGCCAGGGCTTTTTTTCCTTCTATAGGAGGTGCTTCCCCAACAAAAAATTCTTTAAAATCATGCAGTTTTCCCAAAAATTTAATTTAAAACAAGTTTTTTCTTCCTCTTTTGTATAAAATATACCTTGAAATTTTCCTCCAAAATTAAGGGCAGGGCTGCTTCCCAAACCTGTGAAAAAAGCCCTAATAGCATGATTTGAGTTCACAAAGCTAACAGTCAAGTGACACACAACTCTCCCTCTTATTTAATCAGACTGTCAAAGAAAAAAGTTTGTACCTGCTTTTTCAAAAATAGAGCTGTACTTCAATAGGTCATGTACACTTAAAAACCATTTAAAATCTTCTAAAACATCAAAAGGAAGATCTGAAAAATAAATGATATTATCATAGTCTAAAGTATGTGCACGATCACAAAGGTCTGAACTATTCAGAGGTCATACATCTACATATGTATAATGAAAAGGACTAAAATTTATTGTACAGATGAGAGAGTGTTACAATCTCCTATGCATTAACATCCAAAAGCATAGATGTTAAAAAATTTTATATTACAATTTTACAAAATATAAATAATATTATAAACAATCTAAACTGCATATAAGCAGTCACCTATGTTTAACATGATCCTAGGACTGTATGTGACAGTAAAAATCAAATCCAACAAGAAGAAATTCATGTTTGTAAATTGTATCCTATTTATAATATGACCTTGTTTAGCATGGTAAACAGTTAAACTGCTTCTCTGATCAAATACCAATAACAGATAGTGACAGAAAATGCATATTATAAGAAAGATTCAAATGTATAGACATGGAATAAACATAATTTTTGCATAAAAACTGCACACACACATTAACAGAGAAGAAAACACACATCAACAGACAAAATCACATGAGCATGCTCCATTGTTAAATTAATTTGTTTTCTGGATCGCTCCTTTGACCCATCAACCACATCCAAGCAATGTCTTAGACAAGCATCCTGGCCAAGTTTGATGACAATTGAGTCAAAAATGTGACCTCTAGTGTGTTAAAAAGGTTTTCAATATTTGGGCAATGTGACCTAATTTTTGACTGGAGACAACCCATATTCAAACTTGACCTAGAAATCATCAAAACAACCTTCCTGAAAAATTTCCAGAATATTTGGATCAAAAACTGCAGCCAGTAGAGTGTTAACAAGCTTTTTCTATTTTTAGCTCCTGTGACCTAGTTTTTGACCGGAGATGACCCATCTTTGAACTTGACCTAGAAATCATCAAAACAACCTTCCTGACAAATTTTCAGAATATTTGGATCAAAACTGCAGCCACTAGAGTATTAACAAGCTTTTTCTATTTTTAGCTCCTGTGACCTAGTTTTTGACCGGAGATAACCCATCTTCGAATTTAACCTAGATATCATCAAAACAATTTTCCTGACAAATTTTCAGAATATTTGGATCAAAACTGCAGCCACTAGAGTATTAACAAGCTTTTTCTATTTTTAGCTCCTGTGACCTAGTTTTTGACCGGAGATAACCCATCTTCGAACTTGACCTAGAAATCATCAAAACAACTTTCCTGACAAATTTCCAGAATATTTGGATCAAAACTGCAGCCACTAGAGTGTTAACAAGCTTTTTCTATTTTTAGCTCCTGTGACCTAGTTTTTGACCGGTGAAGACCCATCTTCGAACTTGACCTAGAAATCATTAAAACAACCTTCCTGACAAATTTTCAGAATATTTGGATCAAAACTGCAGCCAGTAGAGTGTTAACAAGCTTTTTCTATTTTTAGCTCCTGTGACCTAGATTTTGACCGGAGATGACCCATCTTCGAACACGATCTGTATTTCATTGAGACAAACATTCTGACAAAGTTTGATAAGGATCCAATCAAAACTGTGACTGCTAGACTGTTAACAACCCAATTGTTGACGACGAACGACGCTTGACGACGGATGCCGGACATAGCCCCATCACTATACCTCACCTTGACCACTTTGTAGTCAGGTGAGCTAGAAACTAATTAAGAAAATGTTTATCAGTCAATGCCTAAAGAAGGCAGGATAGTTTTCTATAGTTACTGATATCAAAGTGGCTATGGTAAAATTTGCCTGATATGAATAGTGGCATACTGCAGGTTTATATTGTCAAATTTCATTGGATAACCGTAAACCATAATAATTTTATATAAACCATATACAAGGCTAGTGTCAATTTATCAATTACTTTCATTTTTTATAAACAAGAGGGCCATGATGGCCCTGGATCGCTCACCTGACACAACCGCATCCAAGCAATGTCTTAAACAAGCATCATGACCAAGTTTGATGACAACTGAGTCAAACATGTGACCTCTATTGTGTTATAAAGATTTTTCCATATTTGGGCAATGTGACCTAATTTTTGACCGGACACGACCCATATTCAAACTTGACATAGAAATCATCAAAACAACCTTCCTGACCAATTTCCTGGAAATTTGGATCAAAACTGCAGCCACTAGAGTGTTAAAAAAGATTTTTCTATTTTTAGCTCCTGTGACCTAGTTTTTTACCGGACATGACCAATCTTAGCAATTGACCCAGAAAACATCAAAACAGCATTCTTGACAAATTTCCAGAATATTTGAATCAAAACTGCAGCCACTAGAGTGTAAACAAGCTTTTTCTATTTTTAGCTCCTGTGACCTAGTTTTTGACCAGAGATGACCCATCTTCGAACTTGACCCAAAAACAATCAAAACAACCTTCCTGACAAATTTCCAGAATATTTGAATCAATACTGCAGCCACTAGAGTATTAACAAGCTTTTTCTATTTTTAGCTCCTGTGACCTAGTTTTTGACCGGAGATAACCCATCTTCAAACTTGACCTAGAAATCATCAAAACAACCTTCTTGACAAATTTCCAGAATATTTAGATGAAAACTGCAACCATTAGAGTGTTAACAAGCTTTTTCTATTTTTAGCTCCTGTGACCTAGTTTTTGACCTGAGATGACCCATCTTCCAACTTGACCTAGAAATCATCAAAACAACCTTTCTGACAAATTTCCAGAATGTTTGGATGAAAACTGCAACCATTAGAGTGTTAACAAGCTTTTTCTATTTTTAGCTCCTGTGACCTAGTTTTTGACCAGACATTACCCATCTTCGAACTTGACCTAGAAATCATCAAAACAACCTTCTTGACAAATTTCCAGAATATTTTAATCAAAACTGCAGCCACTAGAGTGTTAACAAGCTTTTTCTATTTTTAGCTCCTGTGACCTAGTTTTTGACCGGAGATAACCCATCTTCGAACTTGACCTAGAAATCATCAAAACAACCTTCCTGACAAATTTCCAAAATATTTGGATGAAAACTGCAGCCCCTAGAGTGTTAACAAGCTTTTTCTATTTTTAGCTCCTGTGACCTAGTTTTTGACCGGACATGACCCATCTTCGAACTTGATTTAGATATCATCAAAACAACCTTCCTGACAAATTTCCAGAATATTTGGATGAAAACTGTAGCCACTAGAGTGTTAACAAGCTTTTTCTATTTTTAGCTCCTGTGACCTAGTTTTTGACCGGAGATGACCCATCTTCGAACTTGATCTAGAAATCATCAAAACGACTTTCCTGACAAATTTCCAAAATATTTGGATGAAAACTGCAGGCACTAGAGTTTTAACAAGCTTTTTCTATTTTTAGCTCCTGTGACCTAGTTTTTGACCCGACATAACCCATCTTCGAACTTGATCTGTATTTCATTGAGACAAACATTCTGACAAAGTTTTATGATGATCCAATCAAAACTGTGACTGCTAGACTGTTAACAACCCAATTGTTAGAGTGTTAACAAGCTTTTTCTATTTTTAGCTCCTGTGACCTAGTTTTTGACCGGAGATAACCCATCTTCGAACTTGACCTAGATATCATTAAAACAACCTTCCTGACAAATTTCCAGAATATTTGGATGAAAACTGCAGCCTCTAGAGTGTTAACAAGCTTTTTCTATTTTTAGCTCCTGTGACCTAGTTTTTGACCCGAGATAACCCATCTTCGAACTCAATCTGTATTTCATTGAGACAAACATTCTGACAAAGTTTGATGATGATCCAATCAAAACTGTGACTGCTAGACTGTTAACAACCCAATTGTTGACGACGCACGACACACAACACACGACGCACGACGACGGACGCCGGACATAGCCCCATCACTATACCTCACCTTGACCACTTTGTGGTCAGGTGAGCTAAAAATAGAAGCAGTTTGCTGTATTATAAATTTATTATAAAGATATCTGACAGGTTATATGACCATATACCGGTAATAATAATATAAACAGTTGTTTGCAATATAACCTTACCTAGCAGCATGGGTTATATATACACAAGCAACAATTTATATACAATTGTAGGGCCATATAACCAGACAAAAATCTTTTACTTCATAATGTATACCGTAATATGAATGCACTTACAACAAAAATGTTCTGGGTTAAATAATGTACTGTTCTTTGAAAGTCTCTTGAAACATAAATTTCTGAGGGATAAGATATTTGTAATGCCATCTATATCCAGTGTGTGGAAAGCATATCTGTTGATAAACAAGAACCACATGGTGGATCCTGAAATACACAAGAAATTTGCTTTTAATGTTGCTGTTAACATAAGTCATCTTAAGTATATACTGAGATACTGTTAATTTGGGCGACAATCATAGAAGCCAGGATATAGTCACATCAAATAACAAAGTATCTTAACTTTTGAGTAGCTGAACTTACTTTCATTAACTTATGTTACAGGTATTAACTGTTCAAAGATTTAACCATCAATGTAAAGTGCACAAGGCCATCAATAATCTATGATATAGCAATCTGAACTGTATATGTTATAAGTGATCAATATATGCTCAATATAGCTAACACGGACCTAGTAAAGTGTAGACAATAAGACAATATTAGGAAGTGTGTAGGCTGTTCCTGCAAGTCCTTTTTAAGACCTAGAAATAACCTATTTTATGTTAACTCTTCATTAATCTGATATTTTGCTTTTTTTCATTTCAGATGTTATGTTAAAAAGCCTTGATAATATAAAAGGTAATAATGATAAATATAGAATGTAAAATAAGTTTTATTATTTGGACTAGGCTGTTCCTGACAGGGCCAAAAAGCCCTTCTTTGTAGAGGTCGAATATAGGCTGCTTCCCCAACCAAACTAGCCTCTTTTTTCCCACGTTTGGTCCTCAAAATTCCCCAGTCTTTAGAAATTTCCCATAGAATTTAGAACAAAATAAAACTAGAACTATGGCTGAATGCGATTCATACCCCCACCAATGTCCTTGACAGAAGACAACTTGGAAAGGTGGTTAAGGGAATAACTTTAGTGGCACAAATACATAAAAAGAAATTTTCTCTGGTGAAAAAAGACTAATTGTACAGGTAATAGTATAAATATATACTATCAAATCATGTTTGAAACAGTAACAAATAACCTTTCATTTTCCCAATGTACTAAACATTTGATAAGTCAATTTTTGACCTTCAAGTGTGGCCTTGACCTAAAGCTGGCACAAGGGTAAGATGGGTTCTGCACATTGCCCAGTTGGGGTGAACATTTGAGTAAAGTTTGAAGAAAATCCTTCCAGTAGTATAGAATTTATAGGGCGACACGACATATTGTCTAGTATTGATTGTATGTACTTAAAAAGGGGCATTTCTTTGTCAAAATGCAATACAGAGTTATGAAACTTGACCTGCATATCTTATTTGTGACACCTCATGTATCTTTTAAGTTTCAAGCAAATACATGTGCTAGTTTCAGAAATATTCAAATACATGTTAAAATTTAAGAATATTTTCTAAGTCAATTTTTGACTTTCAAGTGTGACCTTGACCTTAAGTCGGCAAAAGGGTTCTGCACATGGGTTCTGCACATTACCTTGTTGAGGTGAACATTTGAGCCAAGATTGAAGAAAATCTTTCAATTAGAGTAGGACTTACAGAGCGGACACGACATACTGTGTAATATTTGATTGTTTGATATTTGACCTTCAATTGTGACCTTGACCTTGAGCTGACACATGTGCAACATGGGTTCTGCACATCCCCTTGTTGAGGTGAACATTTGAGCCAAGTTTGAAGAAAATCTTTCAATTAGTGTAGGACTTACAGAGCGGACACAACATACTGTGTAATATTTGATTGTTTGATATTTGACCTTCAATCTTGACCTTGAGCTGACACATGGGCAACATGGGTTCTGCACATCCCCTTGTTGAGGTGAACATTTGAGACAAGTTGAAGAAAATCCTTCAATTGGTATAGGATCTATAGAGCGGACAAGAAAATGGAGACGGACCGACGTGACAAAGCGAATCCATTACAGCCCCAATATATTTAGCGACGACAACGTTTTGCCTATTATTCGTTTTGCCATCTTGCTCAATTGACCTTTTCGAAAACCTAGCTAAACACCGTTTTCCGGTACGTTACCGTTTTACCTCTGGGGAATTACACCAAATGAAGTACATAACACTGTTACATGATATTTCAATTTTTCTATCATTATTTAACCGTTTAAGTTGAAAAAATTTATGTTTTTGAAAATTATCAATATTCTTTTAATATCTATTGCAAATTATTAAAAAAAAAAAAAGTTATTTATAGTGAAAATCAATAAAATTCAAACAGACATAGTGGAATCCTCCATAATAAATAAGGTTATTTTCTGCGTAAACTTGTGTATTTACTTTATTTTTTGTATGGAATTATTCATACAATGACAGTGATTTTTCTCACTTAATTGGGAAGAGGCCTTAGCCTCTTGATTTTGGGAAAAATTATCGCTAAAATTGCTTATTTGGGAAGAAAAAAGCAGGTTTAAGTTAAGATTTTTGGGAAAACTGCATGATTTTAAAGAAAATTTCAATTGGGAAGAGGCCCTTTTTCGGAGTCTGTTAATTAAGTAGGAAAATCACTGAATGATATTTAATTATTTTCTTATAAAAAAATAACTGTTTTATTTCAATTTAATTTTAAAAAAGGCCGAAAACATCGAGTTCACTATTACACTCCATTAGGTGAATTCCCCAGAGCTATGTACAGAAAGTACCGGAAAACGGCGTTTAGCTAGGTTTTCGAATTCGTGAATGATTATGATACAATTTCGAAAAAAATCCTACATAAACAAAGATTTATACATTTCTTTAATAGAAGAATACATCTATTCAATAAGTCTGTAGATTTGAATTATCGCTAAATGATTTTGTATTGCCGAAAGTTCTCATGAAAATGCCAGTAATTTACTACCTCATACAAGATCCGCCATATTGTTTACATTGACACCGATGTAAAAAACCGTTAAATCACGCGTTAACAGGGACTTGTGGGTAATCAGTCATCCATGAGCTTGCAGACGATTTATTTGGTGACCTCTGTGTGTTTGCCCTACCCTTCCCTATTATAAACCCTAAACAAGGTTAGCTTTTAATAAAGTTTCCTTTTAAAAGGAAAGGCTTGCACAGTTGTGCCTTCATCCCAACCCTTTAAAATTGTTTTTTTTTTTTGGTTTCAATTTAATTATTATCACATTTTTTTTTTGAATTACGGTATTTGTATATCATAAAGGGTTTATTTAGTTCTCTTATCTCTATTGTATAAAACTAATAAAGAAAATGATCAATCGTAAAAATACTAACGTGATACTGAAGGAAAACAAGTGTGCACATTTCATTTCCCCTTTTTCGCAGCGAAATCATTCCTTTGCTTTATAGACAAGTAAATGCACTAAAATACTTCGTTACGTGGTACCAATTAATAAGCATGTATCAACTATGTTACACGATCACAAATAGACGATGCGCTATGTGGCAAGGTTAATGATATGCATGGGCTATTTTTAGATTACCTCACCAGTTCAGTAGATCTAAATATAACTCGATCATGCGTGATTTGGTAAGCAGGACCACCCTTTGAAGACGGAATACTACTACCATTCTCTATTGTATAAAACTAATACAGACAAAAAACAATTATAAAAGAAACTAACTTTTGCGTCTTGAAAAACAATTGAAACGGAACAATTTCGTTTATAATTTATTACGGTAATCAAGTAAAAATAGAAATCCTATTTATATAAACAAACTGGGATTACCGAAGTAACTAAAATAGCTTAGATTTCCGTTATATTACTTCGTCTGATTCCGCAGTATGACGGAATCGCCCGAATTGTCACGATTGCAATCGGAACTACATCGGCTATTATCATTAATCCGAAGAGTGACGGAAAAGGCCGAAAGGTTGCGATTGGCACGATTGCGGCTGGTTTCCCGTTCAATCATGCACCAACAGATGTAAGCAGGAAACCACCTAACCGGAACAAGTTTTCCATATGAAATGGCTGCAAGCCAAAAAAGCTAGTAGCGACTCGCTTCGTAATTTTTTTCCATGGGTGTGTTTAAATATAATAAAGTTTCCTTTTAAAAGGAAAGGCTTGCACAGTTGTGCCTTCATCCCAAGTTGAAACCAGGGCCGGCAAAATCAATTGTCCGAGTTGCCCGAGTAGTAAAATTGTCGGTCCGGGCAAGAAAAATTCTGCAGTTTACTTGTCCGTGGACAAGTAAATTTCGGCGGCTAAAAGAGGAATTCTGAAGAAACTAGAAATGTGTCCATAGGACACGGATGCCCCCACACGCCACTGTTCTGTCAATCTTATGACTCTAGGTCAAATATTTTTTGGACTACATGTGCCACAAGTTGAAAACTAAAAATCAACAAAGGGCCATAATTCTGTTAAATTTGGTCGCAGCAAAAATTCCTACCTTTACTACCATCTACACATAAAGGTTGTTAATCCCTGGAAGTTTAAGCAAAATCTGCCATCCGGTTTAAGAGGAGTTGCATTCACAAAATTTCTATATAGTATATAGTGAAAAAATCAACAAAGGGCCATAATTCTGTAAAATTTGGTCGCAGCGAAAATTCCTTCCTTTACTACCATCTTCACCTTAAGGTTGTTCATCCCTGTAAGTTTAAGCAAAATCTGCCATGCGGTTTAAGAGGAGTTGCGTTCACAAAATTTCTACATAGTATATAGTGAAAAAATCAACAAAGGGCCATAATTCTGTTAAATTTGGTTGCAGCAAAAATTCCTTCCTTTACTGCCATCTACACATAAAGGTTGTTCATCCTTGGAAGTTTAAGCAAAATCTGCCATCCGGTTTAAGAGGAGTTGCATTCACAAAATTTCTATATAGTATATAGTGAAAAAATCAACAAAGGGCCATAATTCTGTAAAATTTGGTCGCAGCGAAAATTCCTTCCTTTACTACCATCTTCACCTTAAGGTTGTTCATCCCTGTAAGTTTAAGCAAAATCTGCCATGCGGTTTAAGAGGAGTTGCGTTCACAAAATTTCTACATAGTATATAGTGAAAAAATCAACAAAGGGCCATAATTCTGTTAAATTTGGTCGCAGCAAAAATTCCTTCCTTTACTGCCATCTACACATTAAGGTTGTTCATCCCTGTAAGTTTAAGCAAAATCTGCCATGCGGTTTAAGAGGAGTTGCGTTCACAAAATTTCTACATTGTATATAGTGAAAAAATCAACAAAGGGCCATAATTCTGTTAAATTTGGTCGCAGCAAAAATTCCTTCCTTTACTACCATCTACACATTAAGGTTGTTCATCCCTGTAAGTTTAAGCAAAATCTGCCATGCGGTTTAAGAGGAGTTGCGTTCACAAAATTTCTACATAGTATATAGTGAAAAAATCAACAAAGGGCCATAATTCTGTTAAATTTGGTCGCAGCAAAAATTCCTTCCTTTACTACCATCTACACATTAAGGTTGTTCATCCCTGTAAGTTTAAGCAAAATCTGCCATCCGGTTTAAGAGGAGTTGCGTTCACAAGATTTCGGGACGTACGGACGGACTGACGGACGGACGGACTGACTGACGGACGGACGGACAAGTGCAACGCTATATGCTCCCACATTGTGGGGGCATAAAAATCTACTTCTTTTCTAATAGATCTAAATCAGAAGGAAAATCACACATTTAATACGAAAACTAGTGTGTGAAGTGTGGTGTCATTCACGAGGGCATTCCGTGCATATATGGTGTTACTATTTTAAGTGTTTACATAAATAGCTACCAACCAGGCTTGGGGTTTTCCTTACGTCATGCAGTTACTGCATGCGCGCGGCAATTAACTAATTATTGAGGGTACATGTTTGTTTTGGTTTATGACTGCGACTTAGCCTCTGCAATCAAATATTTTCGGTAGCAACGGGGTTCTGCCATAAAATTGAATTGGAAGCTGTGGTCTTTTCAAGCGCATATATTGTTTAGATAGCAGACACAGCATCAATCCCGCAACAATTGCCTTTGAAATACCGCTGTGTTGTATGAAAATTAAATACATTGTATAATTTTTCCAGGTCATTCGGAAATATTTACGGTCATATCGGCAATTTGACTGCTTGAATTTATGTGGACAAAGTCATTTTATAATTTATTTTATGTAAAGATTTCTTGTGAAAATGCCTTTGTTTTTGAATGTCTAATACTGGTGTTAATGTATACATGTCAGTTTCATCGTCGCAGATGATAATGATGTCAAAATTTTCACAATTCATCTGCTGCAACCAAGCGTATATACGTATATGATATGACATTCTGTGGCAATCATAAAATTTTATATCGTTAAAAAAGCCAGATGTCATCAATTTGACAAATCTAAAAAGAGTACATATGATTTTTAACAGGATTAAATGAATATTATATAGATGAATAGAATAAGGAGTGAATAAATAAGAAATGGTACCAGAGTGCAAAAAAATGAAGACAATATTTTAGAGCAATTTGGGTGCAAGGAAAACTGAAAAAGTGCTGGCAAAAGACCAATGCTACTTCCAGTAAAAATAAATATACACAATTTGTCCATCACTGTCGTTCTACTTTAATCTACTGCCGTTAACATTTTATAAATATATTATATTATAATCATAATATATTATATTATTAAACATATGGCATAGAATGTTTAAAAAAATTGAAAGAAAGTTCATAATCATATTGCTCTTCTTTATTGACATTTGCAGTAAATATTAAATTTAAATATAAATACGGACAAGTGAACATCGAGTACGGACAAGTAAATTTCTTAGGTTACTTGTCCGTGGACAAGTACAATTTTCTGAGATTTTGCCGGCCCTGCCAACCCTTTAAAATTGTTTGGTTTTTTTGGTTTCAATTTATTATCACATTTTTTTTAATAACGGTATTTGTATATCATAAAGGGTTTATTAAGTTTATTTATTTTTTTTATTTTTTTTTTGGAAAAACGAATATTTTTTGTCAAAACGATTTGAAATCTATTCTCTATTGTATAAAACTAATAAAGAAAATGATCAATCGTAAAACGTGGAGATTTATCTATCATACTGAAAGGAAACAAGTGTGCACATTTCATTTCCCCTTTTTCGCAGAGAAATCATTCGTTTGCTTTATAGACAAGTAAATGCACTAAAATACTTCGTTACGTGGTACCAATTAATAAGCATGTATCAACTATGTTACACGATCACAAATACGATGCACTATCTGTAGATGTTAATGATATGCATGGGCTATTTTGAAGACGGAATACTACTACAGTACAGACAAAAAACAAAACAATTATAAAAGAAACTAACTTTTGCGTCTTGAAAAACAATTGAAACGGAACAATTTCGTTTATAATTTATTACGGTTTAAACCGATAAATCGAGTAAAAATAGAAATCCTATTTATATAATCAAACTGGGATTACCGAAGTAACTAAAATAGCTTAGATTTCTGTAATATTACTTCGTCTGATTCCGCAGTATGACGGAATCGCCCGAATTGTCACGGTTGCAATCGGAACTACATCGGCTATTATCATTAATCCGAAGAGTGACGGAAAAGGCCGAAAAGTTGCGATTGGCACGATTGCAGCTGGTTTCCCGTTCAATCATGCACCAACATATGTGAGCAGGAAACCACCTAACCGGATCAAGTTTTCCAAATGAAATGGCTTGCAGCCGTAAAAATGACAGTTCTGTTAGCCGAAGAGACTTCAGCGAGCATAAAAAAGTGACATATAAAGTTACGGAAGCCAGTTCTCTCAGTTTAACAAAGAGGAATATGGGTATATATGAAGACGCATGTAAATAGAATGAAGTCCCTATGTCTATGCACATTTACTATATGGCCTGTTGACCTTGACCAAAAAAAAAATGTTAGATAGGTAGAATTTATACAGATGTCTCTTTATACGAAGTTAAGTTGTAATATGTAATTTAGTATTGTAATGAGTGACAGACACAAGTCCTAAAGTAAACACAAGTTGTCAATCAATTCAGCCAGAAAAGCCGGGTTGGTATTAAAAATATATCGATCCCGGAAATTGACCAGTCTAACAAGATGTTTTCAGATAAGCCGGGATCATATTAAAACATATAGGGATCCCGGGAAATGACCAGTTCAAGAATATTGTTTTCAGAAAAGCCGGGATCGTATTAAATATATAGAGATCCCAGGAATTGGCCAGTTCAAGAATATAGTTTTCAGAAAAGCTGGGATCCTATTAAAACATATAGGGATCCCGGGAATTGACCAGTTCAAGAATATAGTTTTCAGAAAAGCCGGGATCGTATAAAAATATATAGAGGTCCCAGGAATTGGCCAGGTCAAGAATAAAGTTTTCAAAAAACTGGGATCGTATTAAAACATATAGGAATCCCGGGATTTGACCAATTCAAGAATATAGTCTTTGATTTTTCCAATTAATTAGGCATATAATTGTTAGTATTGTGATTTCCGCCTTTTAAGTTTGTTAATAAATAACTCCAAATATATCTATATCCTAAGTTAAATTAATTTAACGTTCATTACATACAATAAAAAAACAAAAACTTAACGTTTAATGGCCTTCATTACGACAATAATCAACACAAATATAGTTTATTAGTTTTTCCTCTATATCTAATACGATCCCGGATCCCGGGCGTCCCGGATCCCGGCCAGTTAATACATACACTAAATACCTGAAAGGATAAAATGACCGGATAAAAATAAAAAATGCACAGAACCAGATGTACACTTATGTTAATTAACCAAACGAAAACTTACTACAGAGACAACAGGTGAAATCGCTGAATCAAAAGTCAGTGTCAATACATGTATGATTTATTGAAAAGAATTCATGGAAACAAACATTTTCATCATCATTATATCTTTGCGCTCAAAGCAATACTTGCTGCTTTTTAAAAATGGCGTGAAAATTGATGTTTTTTTTTGACGCTATGTAAGATTAATTTTGATTGGCTAAATAATTTTGGATCCTAGCCCTGACAGATAAATTTTGTAGAAAGCTGGAAGCCAAGCTTCGATTAAATTTTTGGATGGATTCGGAGTTTTAGGTTGTTTCTCAGTAAAATCCTAACGTAATACCGGCTCGCCACGCGTTGTCAGGCGTCATAAAATATACATTTTCTCAGGGACTGCAATATTTTACTCCGGTTTACGCACGAAAATGATAAATTTTAACCTTTTCCCTTGCTAATGAGTGGGGCCCCGTGCGTGCGTAAATAGCACTCGCAAGCCCCGGCAATGCATATTTAAAACATGTGGTAATCCGCGGACAAACTCCTCACACTGATTACCTCCCTTGGCAGAATCACTGCCTTCACAGACGTCACCTGATGATGAAAGTCACATGACGTAGCGTCGAAATTCAAATGTAAACATCGACCGTTACATACACGGGGGGGGGGGGGAATCACGTGACTTTGTATAGTAATACCCACGAGAAAATGGCTACTGCAGAGCCCCGGTAAGTACCTTATTATGTTAAATTAAGGTGACAAACGTTTCTTAAATCAAAACAAAACCTAGCGTATCATATGCGCGTTAATTTTCTTCAAATGACAATGTAAAGTGCAATATCCTACGTTTTGTGGTTTTTGAGAACATTGTTTGAATTGATTGAAAATTGCACATTCAGCGATAGTAATTCGCACGAGGCGATATAATTTGGTACCAAAATAAAGGAAAATAAGCTTACTTTCTGCACTGAAGACACAAAATCAATCATTTTATTAACATCTGTTATCGTAGAAGTCCATATTAAATATATTCTCGAAGGTATGTAGCCTACAAATGTTCTTTGCAGGTGTATAGTAAGTAAAACGAACAATTTCTGGATAGTAAGTCGCACGAAAACAAAATAGTAAGTTTCACGCACAGTTTCCATTAGCATACATGTACATTAAAAGAAAGTTAAAGTCCATATGTAAAGAGATAGAAAATACTTATTTCAATTATTCAAAATCAAATATTTCGCTTTTTGTCTATAGATCGAATGCTTAATTGGTTGTAATCATAATATATCAAATGAACTTTTGATGGGATTTGATATTACACGGCTCAGTGTTATTTTTCTGTTGCGATAGTAGTTCTTTGACCTCTGCAGTTTCAGGTGTGTCTTGGCCCTCATTTTACTGTAATTAGAAAGAAGATGAACAAATATAATTGCTTGTTAATTGGTATGGTGATGTTTATTAACTGAATGCTGATGTTTTTATATGGTGGTATTTGTTACATTTAGTCACTATGCTACTTAATTTATGAAAATATATTGAAAAATTCGCAAGAACAAAATAACTTCCTCCAAAAAAAAGAAAGACAAAAAAAAACAACAATGATACAGTGATACAAGATATGATTAAAGGCACATTTTGCCTCAGAAATCCATATTGTTTTATTCTTCAGAAATGTCTAATATGTGTTTGATAATGTTTTAGATAAAGGATAAATGGCATTATATAGTATGTTATTACAACTGAAAAAGATAGCGCTGAACATTTAGTGATGTGTCGTAAAGGTAGCGAAATATAAACAAAGTAGTATTTTGACTTCCATACAAAATACTTATTTACTAAAGGTATACAAATTGCCAACAGAACTTAGATGCAAGACATAGTTTGAGTATCTAGCAAATGAGTATGTTTTCGGAAAGTGTAACAAGATACCAAAAATAAACATATTTTTTTAAATAAAAATGATAGCACAATTGACCTTTAAAGAAAAACGAATATTTGAAATTAAACGGTCAAAGATATTTACACTTTTTAAAGTGAAGGCAGGTGGAGTAAAAAAAATATTTACATAAAACAGTCTTAGATGCTGGGTTTCAAATCACACCGTCAATGTCGGGACACCTGAGTTAAAGCGCCGACGTTTTGTTAGCTAGTTCGATGAAAGAATTCAAGGACTCTGGTCGGACTAGAATCCATAGCAGTGAGAAGCATGTGTATAAAAATCAGGGATATTAAACACTCGACCATGGACGCTCTGAATATCTTATTTACTTAAAGTAAGAGTTTACGACGCAACACATGTGCACATGGTAAGAAAATAAGCTTATAGTAAAACATAACGTTTTAACAAAACTTCTTGGGTTAATTTATAAAATCTGCCAGTGTATAAAAGAATAAATTTAATAAAAACGTGGTATACCAGTTCTATGATGGCATTAAATATCAATGTGAAATGGCGAATGTCTTCTCCTTTGCGTTTTTTGTCCAAATTGCAGGTACTGAAAAGTAAATGATGGTGTTGTAATATTTCCTTCTGTACAGTTATTTCTTTATATAGCTAGTTCTAAGGATAACGGATGTGGGTACAGTCTAACGTGAAAAGGGGCCAAGTGTAACGTACATTGTTGATTATCAATGTCAATGTCTCATTTTTTTAAAAAAAATTTAAGTTAAGTAATCTTTAATGAAATTATATGAATATGAATACATGTATTATGAAATAATATGAATAATATTAAAATACTCTCTAAATATTTGTTTCTCTGTCACCGTAGACGGAACACACTTGCAAATTTGAAACCAAATAATTATAAAATAATTTCGTCACATTTAAGCAAGTTATTGGAAACTATGCGTGAATCTTACTATTTTGTTTTCGTGTAACTTACTATCCAGAAATTGTTCGTTTTACTTACTAAACACTTGCAAAGAACATTTGTAGGCTACAGACCTTCAAACAAAATTTTATATGGAATTCTACAAGAACAGATGTCAATAAAATGATTGATTTGGTGTCTTAAGTGCAAAAAGAAGGCTTATTTTCCTTTATTTTGGTACCAAGTTATATCGCTTCGTGCGAATTACTATGGCTGAATGTTCAATTTTCACACAATTCAAACAATGTTCTCAAAAACCACAAAACGTAGGATAATGCACTTTGTATTACCATTTGAAGAAAATTATCGCGCATACAGGCTGTCAACCAATTCCTATATTCCTATAAAACTCCTATATTTTGGGTCGGAATCCTATATTTTAAAAAGCCTCCTATTTTTCCTATATTCTCCTATATTTTGAATATTTTTCCTATATTTGTTTTTAAATATATTGTCGAGGAATTAAAAGAGATTTAAATTTTGGTACTGCTTTTGGCCTTTTGTATTTTACAGGTAAGAGAATGTGTATGCCTGCATCAGCATCACATTACTATGCTCAAGGTTGCTGTGCTCCTCATAGCCATCTGCATGGTCACCATGAAAAGCAGTGCATCAGTATGTCAACTTTATTTCAGGTGACCATTCAGATGATGGTCATGCATTGCTGTAACTTTCTGCCGGGATGCTGATGCTGTGGTTCAAAGCTAATGCAGGCTGTCCGCTGTGTCCCTTAAATTCCTAAAAAAATCCTAATTTTTTCAGTTTGGCTAAAATTCCTAAAAAAGTGAAAAATTCAAAGGGAATTCCTAAAGATGCCCTATTTTTTCACTGAAATTCCTCATTTTTTTATCTTTTGCTATAAACATACTTATAACATGTAACCCTGTCAAAGTAATCACGGACATAACTAAGTCGACCATGTTTTGAACATGGTCCTGAAACTCAAATCATAACCATAAGAGTCCACTTATTCTGGAATATTTTGACACTCTTTTGCCAACTCCAGATATCTTGAATTTTATGTTTGTTCATTTTATCCAAATTTCTGAAGTGGTCCATTTATATCATATCATATTTAAAAATGATCATTATGAAGCTGTTGTAACACAATCTTAATTAAAAACATGAATAAATCGTTGCCAAAAATTAATGTACAATTTGTTTACTTTATTTAAATCTGCATAATATCAAAACAACATTGTAAAGTACTGAATGGGTTAACGTAGACTTTGAAAAATTAATTCTTTCCCTCATACTTATTTATCCTTTTCGATGTCTTTGTAGGAGAAATTGTTTATTTTGCCACAAAGTTTTCAATTTCATTCAATTCTTGTTCTTTCATTCATATGGTGCAATTTAGGAAAATGCAGACTCATATAATTAATCACACTCAAAAATAATTTGGCAGTTCAGTAATATAATGCTCATTTCCAATTACAATGTACACACATTTTGCAATTATGTGATCTAGATAAACTGCAATTGAATGGTCTGTGTGATGAACTTTTTTGATGTGCAATTCTTTGTGTTGATTATAGATGCTTCCCATTTATTCAAATGACTGCACTAAGGCAAATGCCTTTTTCCTTTCTACTTGTACAAAAAATTTCATTTGTCCATATTCAAAAGCTGCATTGTGCAAGAATTTCACTGTATAAGAATTCCTTTTAGACACTTGTGGTTATAAAATTCCCAAAACATAGGTAAAACATGTTCTTTTTGACATGTTCAGCCAGTTTAAAAATATGGTTTGAACGTGATTTGACTAAGACCATTTCCGCAGGGGAGGCAGTTGACCAGTGAGTCCACACTGGTAGCACCTTTGCTCTAACTAAACTAGAACATTATTTGTGAGTTACTTTTGTGTCAAATATGCAAAGATTAGCCCTCATCCAGGTCCTTTGTGACCTGAGTTTACTTAGTTATAAAATTACAAATTTTAGCCGTAAAATTTCTATTACGTACACTAACATTCCTAATTTTAGCCCTAAAATTTCTGAAATATTACCCTAAAATTCGCCCTAATTTTATGTCGGAAGGTGCTGGACAGCCTGCTAATGGTGTCCTTCACTTATACGGTAGACATTTCATTGTAGAAACAGCATGTGTAAAAGTAAGAATAATTTACATTTATATAAGCATTTGTAAGTTAAACAATTTAAGTTGAAAACTCCTATTTTTTGCCTCAAAATGGTCCAAAAACTCCTATATTTCCTGCAAAAATATTCCTATATTCCTCCTTTATTTTGGATAAGACCTGGTTGACAGCCTGCGCATATGATACGCTAGGTTTTGTTTTGATTTAAGAAACGTTCGTCACCTTTATTTAACATAATAAGGTACTTACCGGGGCTCAGCAGTAGCCATTTTCTCGTGGGTATTACTATACAAAATCACGTGATTCCCCCCGTGTACATAGAAAATCTTACGTCATTTTTCTCTTTCTGTTTTATTTTTAACTTTTTGTACCTACGTCCGTTATATTTTATCAAAAAATTATCTAAAGTATACAAAATAATGAAAAATAAATTAAAAAGCTAAAAAATATAAATATCCAAATATTGATATTGGCAGAGATCTCTGTGAGTGAGACTAAAATAAGTTTCCTTTTAAAAGGAAAGGCTTGCACAGTTGTGCCTTCA